TTAGGGTCGCCACAGACAAGCAAGAGAAGAGAGTAAATAGGGACTCAAAACAGAGATAATAAACAGAAACATGAGGCTAAAAAACAGTAATATGGAAAGACTATATCGTTTTATTGGATATTATAAGTTACAAAAAGTGGATGCATCTGCGCCAGCCATTGAGAACGATCACTTTGAGCCATATCACCAATTGGTTCCAACCATTGTTTTTTACCGCCCTTGTCTTCTGTTGTTACATTTGGTGTCGCTGTCTCCAGAAAATGAAGATCCCGTGGCCAGCTGCGTTTGAAGAAGGAGACATACGGAGCTTCCTACGTGACTTCGAGGCCGTTGCTGAGCTGGTGGGTGTCAAGTAGCAGGCGGCGAAGGCAGTTGTCCTGGGGACGCTGTTGAGAGGCCGAGCGAATGCGGCATATGACAGCGTAGACAGGTCAAATGCTACAGTGTCTTGGAAGAAATTGGTTGAACGACTAGTGTCCGAGTTCAACAGCGCAACAGACAGACAGCTAGCGATGGAGCAGTTCCGGTCAACGAAGCTGGGACCGGATGGAGACCCGCTAGTGTTGGCGGTAAAACTGACGAATCTACTTCGACGCGCGCTTCCCACTTTGGATGAAGAATCAGAAGCGCAGTTACTGTCTTCCCAATTCATCGAGAGTGTCCCAGACCACATTTCTCAGCGATTAAAACTGGTTAACTCAACGCAGCCGATGGATATCAGTGAGCTGGCGAAGGTGACCAGACAGCTGCTGAGCACAACGGTAGCCGCTATAGACCAACCAAAACCAAACGAATATGAGCAGAAAATTGAAGCATTGCAGAGGGAAGTGGCGGCGTTAAAGTTGGCTGATAGAAAAGACCGATGTTTTGAATGCGGTAAGCCGGGACACTGGAGACGATACTGCCCAGAAAGGCGAAAAAGAAAAACTTTCAGACGGTATAATACTTGTTCTTTCTCTCGTATGAAACTAGACTTAGTGGGGGCTATTGAGAAAGGGGCTCTGTATTCGAAGTTGCGAGTGAATGATCGAGAAGTAGTATGTTTGATAGATACAGGGGCGGCCGTGCCGTTAATAGATAAGGATTTATGTAAGAGTGTTAGTCCGTGTTCATTGACAGTACAAACAGTAGGCGGGCATGTGTTGCGTATAACGGGTAGATCGAACTGTACGGTCGATGTTGGCGGCTGCGAGGTGACGTTTGCTTTCATTGTTGTACCCGAACTACAGCGAACGATATTAGGAGCGGATTTTCTGCGGGAGATTGGTGCAATAATTGACACGCAAGCGAAAGTTGTGGTCACGAAATACGGGAGTATCAACATGTATGAGACCAGCGAGATAGCAGCGGTGAAGCTGTCGACGGTATACAATATGACAGATTTAATTAGTAAATACGATCATCTGTTCACTGGAGATGGCGACCCATACGGGTATTGCGACAAGGTGAATCATGAAATTCCGTTAACTGATCCAAAAGTAAGGTCATTTACAACACGAAGAATGCCATGTCATCTGGAAGGCGAAGTGGAGCGACAAGTGCAAGAGATGTTAAAAGATGATATTATTGAGGAAGCTGATAGCCCATACAACTCTCCAGTGCTGTTAGTAGAAAAAGCGAATGGGAAGTATAGATTCTGTGTTGATTTTCGACAGTTAAACAGTATGACAGAGTTAAGACCGTGTGCCATGCCAACAGTGGTAGAAACCTTAGATCGCCTACAAGGTGCGAATGTGTTTTCGGTTCTCGATCTTCGCTCAGGATACTGGCAGATACCGATAAAACAAAGTGATAGAGATAAGACGGCTTTCATCGTGGGTCAGACACAATATCGATTTAAACGCATGCCGTTTGGACTAGCAGGTGCACCGTTTACGTTCAGACGACTGATGAAGCTATTACTTAGGAACTTGAAAAACGTGGAGGTTTATGGTGATGATCTCGTCATATACAGTCAGAACGAAAACGATCACGTCAACCATGTAGAAGCCGTGCTGCGACGCATCGAAGAGTTTGGACTACGCGTCAACAAAACCAAGTCCCAGATAGCCAAAAAGAATGTTACTCTGTTGGGACATAAAGTGGGAAATGGTGAGATTAAACCACTGCCGGAGAAAATTTTGACGATTAAAACGATTCCAGCCCCGAATTCAAAGAGAAAACTGAGACAATTCTTGGGTAGAGCAGCGTTTTATAGTCGCTTCGTGAAGAACTTCAATGAGATAGCAGCCCCTCTATACAGGCTACTAGGTGAGCCAAAGTTTGTTTGGTCGGAAGAATCGCAGAGGACATTCGACAGAATTAAACAGCTGCTCGACCACCAACAAATGACGCTAAAACTACCTGTACCAGGAAGACAGTTCACAGTGTGCACAGATGCCAGTGACTACGCTATAGGTGCGGTCCTAAGACAGGACGAGGGAATCGTTGAGTATGCCAGTAGGGTTTTGACCCTCACAGAGAGAAAGTATTCAACGATAGAGAAAGAATGTTTAGCAATGGTATGGGCAGTCGACAAATGGAGACCTTATTTACTCGGCCGGCGGTTCCACATCGAAACTGATCATAAGCCGCTACAATTTTTGAAGACAGCGAGAGACCCACGGGGGAAGTTGTCACGGTGGATGTTGCGTCTTCAGGAGTACGATTTTACGATCTCACACGTTCCTGGAAGTGAAAATGTCTTGGCAGATTTGTTATCGAGACCAGAAGATGAGTCTGAGTTGCCCGAGGTCGCTTACGGAGTGCATGCAGTAGAACAAGACCCACTAAGACTTGCACGTAGGCAGAGGTTGGACGATACGCTGAATACAGTAATACAGGTGATCACCAACGGAATAGAAGTGGATCAAACTACGGCGAGTAAGGAGCTAACCACACTACTCAGACAGAGGGATCGACTCAGAGTGAATGCCTACGGGACTCTGACCTGGCGAGAGAACGACGGAAGCTGGCTGGCTGTCATACCTCAATCGTCGCGCCACGACATGATAGAAGAATGTCACCAGCTAGCGCATACAGGCGTGGCCAGAACGACCGACCTCCTAAGACAAAGTATGTACTGGCCAGGTATGAGAGAAGACGTAGCAAGATACGTACTTGGATGTCCACGGTGCCAGCTGATGAAAGGTGACCGGTGCATACGACCACCACTTCAGTCGATTCCAGTTACCGCGATAGGTGACTTGTGGTCCGTAGATGTCATGGGTCCATTTCCTCAGACATCCAATGGTAATCAGTACCTCTTGGTGATGACGGAACACGCGACACGATGGGTAGACGCCGTAGCAATCCCAGACCAACGTGCAAGAACCGTGACAGATGCAGTAGTTAGACACATTGTTGCAGACCACGGCGTACCGAAGACAATACTGACAGACCAAGGTCCCTGTTTCGAGAGTGAAGAGTTTACTTCCCGTTTGCAACAGCTGGGCATCAAGAGGATCAGAACGACCCCATACCATCCACAAACGAATGGCCTAACGGAGAGAAACAACCGTACACTGAAGGAGTGGCTGGCCTCGAAGGGCGGGAACTGGGAAACGGAGCTTCCACTGATTTTACTAACACATCGGGCTACCACTCAGGAAACAACGAAGAAGTCACCCTTCCAACTGATGTATGGTAGAAAACCACGATTACCGGTACACAATGAGACCTGGCCCATGCACCAAAAGTGGAGTACGACGAAATTAAAAGCAGAGAGGAAAGAGGCAGTCAAGAATGTAATACGGAAGCAGCGCAGTGATGTCGCGAAGTCTCAGATGAAAGAAAGGACGCAGTGCATTACCTTTGCAGTCGGGGACCAAGTGAAGTGTAGAGACAGGAGATATACAGTTGGAGGCGGGCTAGGTTCACGGAAACTCCTTCCAAAGTGGGAAGGACCATACACAATCACAAAAAGACGGGGTCAAGTATATACCATCCGAAGAGGTGATAAACAGAAACGAGTTAACGCCAGTCAGCTCCAAAGATGGGTACAGTGGGACAAGCCGGTCAGTAACAATCCTCAACTAGAGGATGTAGCACCCAGAAGGTCGGAACGTCTGCGCACAAAGCTATTTGACGGGGGGACGAGTGTGGTGAGAGCAGGCTGCTAGCCGATTGGTTGACACTAATCTACGTTAATGTCTAGGTCACTAATATGGGCCGTGAGAAAATATGAACAAGGCTGTTTCAACAACCAATCACAGCAAACTTAAATGTGGACAAATATGATTCGCAGATAGATGGCTCTACTTTCCGAGAAATATCGAAAACAACCAATCATAAGACTGTGTTTGTCTGCTTAACTTCCGAGAAACAACCAATCAGAAGACTGCCTTTTTCTGCTTGCATAAGCCTTATTAATGTACATAAAATATATATAAATACGTGTTGCTTTTCGTAATAAAACCATCTGTTGCCAGCCCTTGTCTTCTGTTGTTACACTATAACTAACTGTATAATGCTGTGAATACTCTTTAGACATTGTTATTATGTACATACCTCTTGCCTAATCCATTCGAATGAACGTTACGTTATCCACTACATCTTATTTAATAGTCCAGACTTGGGAAATCTACTGGGATTTTGTCAAACATCGATTTTTAGTGGCCAGTATTCGTTTGAAGCTTTGGTAACTGAATATTTGTCTTGGTCCTATGATTTATGATGTTGAAATAATAGAGATGATGTTATTTTTCCTCAGTTGAAATTGATTTTCCATACTACTAGAATCGCACAATTTTTCGGAGTTTGATCCACGAAAAGACATCCAGGAAAAGCTTTTGACGAAGTAAATTGGTCTTATTTGGAGTAAATCTTAGTTTTAATGATAGGGATTGTTTGTTTCACTCAGTCATTAAAAACTTTGACACTGAATAGAAAATACGACCTTTTGAATTTGTTTGACCTTGAGATCTCGGCAAATTGTCAGCTGTTTATTCGGTAGTTGTTACCGAAGAACATGCTTTATAGTTTACCTGGGTTGTGCATAAACACAATCAAACCTAAGAACTATGAAGAAAATATTAGCACGCTTTGCTCAAGGCGATTCTGACGAAGGATTTACCGCTTATAACAACCTTGGCAATCACCAGAGCGCACAGCCTACTTCTGTTGGACGTAATTTTAGACTAGGTAGATTTTCACTGGTTGTGGAAACAACTATAGCCGAAGGTGAGGTTTTTAATCTGTAGTGTTAAATGCATGATACAATACACCATGTAGAAATAATATGTTGTATGACATATTTTGCGTTTATTGCAATTGTCTTTTATTTCAGTCCTGTATTTATAGTCCCATAAATAATAGTATTTGGTTCGTTTTAATATTTTGTCACTCGTTAGCACATTCACGTCAGTATTTTGTCATACATTTTTGGAAATTTTTTCGTGTTCAACTTTGTTAAAATTTTGTTTGGGTGTACAGGAAAAGTAACATTCCAGAGAACTACTATCAATTGATTGACTGACTGAAAGGCTTCAACGTAGAACATTGCACCGATGTGCAGCAGTTAGGGTCGCCACAGACAAGCAAGAGAAGAGAGTAAATAGGGACTCAAAACAGAGATAATAAACAGAAACATGAGGCTAAAAAACAGTAATATGGAAAGACTATATCGTTTTATTGGATATTATAAGTTACAAAAAGTGGATGCATCTGCGCCAGCCATTGAGAACGATCACTTTGAGCCATATCACCAATTGGTTCCAACCATTGTTTTTTACTGCCCTGAGGGTCCAAACCAATGAGTCTGTACCTTCCTACGTAGCTTAAGGCAACTTTTGTGGATTTCACTGACTGATAAAGCCATGTTTTGGTTGGATCACCATTGGCTCTTTTACAGCCTGATCGTATGTCAGCTAACACTACCCGTTTTCTAGGAATGTGATGGCTAGGTTAGGCCTGTGTAACATATCTTAACCCTCTCAATCATCTACTATCAATAACAGGAATGAATCACAGGATCTGTGGGAAAATATCATAAGTTGTGTATACAGTATCGAGGCTTGCATATTTCGTGTTCATCTGTAAAATTTGGAGAGTGAAATATTCACAGATCTGTTTTTTGCTTGACTTGGAATTGTCTGACTATGTGGAAAACACCTTAAGCAGAGTCAGCTTTCGAGTGGTAGGGCCTGGACAGCTAATAGCGCTTAAATTGCGGTTTACAAATAAGGTTAGTTGGTATACAGTAGAGAACTCTGAAAGCATCATCATTTTCATGTTCTTTATTCACGAGATGAGATAGAATTAAACTGTGAATTGACTTTGTTTGTCTATTTCTCAAACATGCAGGATGGCGTTCAGAGATCCGATGATGAACATGCCTCGTTGTACGCCCCATTTAACTGGTTCCACAGGAGCAGTCAAATTAATAGATACACATAGAAGAGGCAAAATTAGGTGATTTATCTTTCACTCCCGAACTTAAAACAGGAGTGCTTGTGAAGATGAAGTTTGCTTCAACAGCATTAAATGCTCCTTATACCACATTTCTTAGGCGATATAATTTCTCGAAGCACTTACAATAAACCCTGTCTGGTCTGAATGTCTGCAAAGTGTCTGTGTTTCGCATGATAATGGTATTAAAAGTAAAGCCTTCCTCGTTGCTTATCAAGTGTTGTAATATTTATAGTAGAAAAATGTACAGCTTAACGTTTTTCAATTTGATTACTCTAAAGCTGTTTTTACTTGGCAGACGTAAAGATATTTATTTGTATTGGTATAGTTGTATTATCTGAGATGGATGGTTAAGTTGTGAAGCTTTCTTTGTACTTCTAGATCATATATTCAGTTTAAGCTTCAATATAAAGTATTTCGACTTCTCCATGAGTTTATTATCCATCTGTTCTGGTGATTTCGAAAGTAACCGGTTGTTTCTGGAGACCTTTTCATCCTCTTGTCCACTGATATACTGATTATTTTGTTGACCTTTTGTTTGTGACTTCCTTTATATCGTTTGGTAAATCTGTGTAAATCTATGTCAGTGTGTCTGTTCATTTCATATTCATCTTAATATTGTCTGTCTGTCTGTTTTCGACACAATACTTTGCACCGATGTGCAGCAGTTCAAGTTGCCACACTCCCTCCATATAGCACACAAAGAAAGAGAAGAAAGTAGAATAAATGCATAACAGAAACAGTCTGTCTGTCTGTCTGTTTTCGACATAGAACTTTGCGCAAATGTGCGGAAGTTCAAGTCGCCACATTCCGTGTAGCACGCGAAGCAAGAAAAGAAAGTACAAGAAAAGCATAATAGAAACAGTGAGCAGAGGTGTGAGACAAAGGAGTAATAAAGAAATACAAAACAGTTTCATTGAAGATCATAAGTCACAGGGAGTGGATGCATCTGCGCCACTGAGAACGATTTTGAGCCATGTCACCAATTGTTTCCAACCATAGATTTTTACCGTCCCGAGGACCCCAACCCGGAAGTCCCCACCTTCTTACGTGGCTGGCTGGCTTAAACTAACTGTTGTGGATTTGATTGACTGGTGCCATGTTTTGATTTGACCACCGCCAGCTCTTTTCCAACCTGACCGTATGTCAGCTAACATTGCCCGTTGTCGAGGAAGGCGATGGCTAGCTATACGTAACACATGTCCTAACCATCTCAGTCGATGTAACTTCACAGCCTCGTCGACTGATTTCCTCTCCTTACCTAACACTCGACCGAAGCCTAACCTGAATATTGCTCACCTCATTATACCACTTCACACGGGAGATAGAGCGCAGGCACCTATGATCAAAGACAGCTAGTCAGACTTTTCATGTCTTCCACTCTCAATGGCCAGGTCTCAGTCACAGCCATAAAGGAGGACGGAGCGAACTGTTGAGTAGTACACCCGCCCTTTGGTCGATAGCCGGATATCACGTCTAGTATAAACTACCGCAAAGAGTAAGAGAAAGTTAAATATAATTTTGTACTGTGGATAAAGACAAAAAGTTAGCTCATCTGTACCACTCTCATATGCTTTCAGTCACTTCACGTGCAGGCTATTTTCATCTGTTCTGATTGTTCCACAAACAATAAGTTTGTATTTTTTACTCAGTCAGTTAGAGAATTTATGCATTTCTTTCATGTCTTAGTCTCACCACGCATAGCCTACTTCTAAGTTCATACTACCTTAGCTAATTGTCCATGATGGGGCTAAACAGTAATTAGTGGTGACTATGAGGAAGGTTCGTAGCCTTGTTGATTAACCTATTTCTCTTGTTGAATACTATCCACACACCACCTTTACATAACGTAATTTGTGCGATGTTAAAGTTAGGTTTAGGATCCTAGGTAAGATATACATGCCACTTGTGAAAGTTATAAGCTGTCCTCGACTTGTCTAATGGATGGCTAGCCACTTTCTCCAAAACAACAGCAACCACTTTCAACTAGGAGGGGATTTAAAAGAGGTCGCTTCCTTCATTCATCTAGGAAAAATCGCTTCAACTACAGGCAGATGTCAAAGGCAGGATGGGAAAGCAAACCAGACCTTCATTACTCTGAAATCTCTTCGGAAATCTTCAGCGTTCAGCATGAAGAACAAGATTCAGATTTTCAACATCAATGTTAAGTTAGTCAGTTCATTTATACTGGTCAGAAACTTTGTCAACGCGTCACGAAAAGCATTTCCAATAAGCTACTGCAGACTTTTTTACTGACAGCTGCCTTCATACTGAAGATCAAATGGTCGGCTAGAAAGAATTGACAACACAAAACTCTGGCAATGAACGAAACTACCAAACGAGAATCGATAGCTCAACAAATATGTACAAGAAAACGGTGATGGATCGGGCACAGGCTGAAGGGACCGGCGAATGACATCTAGCTCAATGTAGGTTAGCCATCGAGTGGAACCCCAAATAGGAAATGACGAGTTTAGCGTTGGTCCCAGTTTGATATGAAAGAGGTCGTTTAGCGAGGGAGAGATGAGACTATGGGGAAAGGTGTAGGTACAGGTAAAGAGGACCATAGAGAACAGATGTGGTTTTAAAGCCCTATCTTCCATTTCAGAACCAAGAGAAAAATAATACAATAGTAATAAAGAAGAAAACTAACATGGATGTGAATTTTATGTTGTCAAAACGGCAGTATCACAATATAAAAAGAGAAAAAAATGAACCACAAGAAAATGTCTTCTTATAATAATTAGCATAAAAAATAACGGTGTGAAATGACACCTGTGTCAGTTTGAGAATATTCTCATGCCACTATGATCGTATAACTACCTAATAGATCCGTGGACACATTTTTCCAGTTTGAGTGACTCTGAGAAAACGGATAGAAGAAATGACTATGAAATTTGTCATGAAATGTTTGTCAAAAAAATAATTTTTGCCTTCAAGTTTCTTTAACATATGTCAGTTAATCCATTAAATTATAACTGCAGCATTACCTTGTTTCTTTTCTATAAAACTCGTCTGAACATTCACATTCAGTTGTGGTTTTTCGAACTAACGATATGGTTACCAACTAACTGATCATGGATGATATTATATGGTTGGAGGCAATCGGCCACAGGAAGCCTTCCACCAAAGTAACTAGTGTGGTGTGTCTAGTCTTTCCTTTGATGCAGGCTGAATTCTTTCAGTCAGGTTTGCAATTTGGCCACCATTCTAGATATCTCGCTATCACGGTGTACTTTGATTTGATGATATTAGCTGGTTGGAGGCAATCGGCCACAGAAGCCTTCCACCTAGGTTTCGTTCTAGTTGGTACTCGTAAGCAAGGCGTATCTGAAACCTTGAAGGAATAGCTCAGTGGTAACGTCTCTGACTCACTGCAGTACTGGGTGATGCAGGTTCGAATCTCAGAAGGGATATGAGTTCCTTCAAAGTGTTTTCAGATACACCTTGCTGATTGATGAGTGCCAACTAGCACGAAACCTAGGTCAAAGGCTTTCTGTGGCCGATTGCCTCCAACCATCTAATATCATCAAATCAAAGTACACCGTGATAGCGAGATATCTAGAATGGTGGCCACATTGCAAACCTGACTGAAAGAATTCAGCCTGCACCAAAGAAAGGACTAGACACACCACACTAGTTATTAATGTCCAATCAAAGTAACTGATCATAGGTCGGAATCTGTCAAGTATGGATTTGTGCAATCAGCTCACTACAGTTAGTTGCTACACCATGAGGGACATTCAGTGGATAGATGGCTTAAGAATCAGGTTTCCCACACACAGGTCACAGGTTGCAGTACCACTCCACCTACTTCAGCCTAAGGCAAACTCGATAGTATGAGCAACTTTTATACAAAATTAGTGTGGCTTTTAGCCTGGAACATAAGAGATCTGTTCCGGGTAATTTATTTCAGGCGTAATGTGCATTCATTGTTTCTTACTGGAATCCTACAAATGTCTAATTTATTGTTTACTTTTGACTCGAAGATGTACTCAGTTCTTGGTCTCGTATTATGTTGAAGTGTGGTTATTTCGAAGTCTATTTTTCCGTTATACATTGACTAGTATTACAAAAATCGATTCACCATTCAGATGACATATTCAGTCGGAAGTGTAATACACCAGGTTGACTTTAAATTATTTAACCATTCATTTCATATGTCTTCTTTTTTTTCGCATTTTTCATTTTTCTTTAGGAGGATTCGGTGTTGTATTTCGTGTAGTATCTCAACATGGGCACACATATGCACTGAAAAGAACTTGTGTAAACAATAGCCATGATCTTGCTGTTTGTAAACGTGAAATAACTATTGTAGTAAGTATTCCATTCTGGATTTCTTCTGTTTATACGTATCTTTTTTCTAAACATCAGCTTAGTATAGAGTGTGTGTATATGTGCTTGCGAACACATTAACGTGTGAGTAAATAAAAATGTAATTATTATATTAATGTTGTTTCCTCGGGCTCCAAGTGGAATGTAGGCTTTCAACAGAACGTCTCCACTTAGTTCTATTCCTTACTGTTCTCTTTAGTTGATCCCGCGTTTGTCCATAGGCTCTTATCTCCTCCTTGTCACCTTCGAAGCGACGCCCAACTCGTCTCCCGTTCGGGTTATAGTCGACGGCTAGCGTGCGCTGGGTGCGATGTCATTCGATGGTCTCCGCAGTGGCATGTGTCATATCCATTTCCATTTTCTACTGTATATTTGTTGAACAATAGTTTGACATAATGTAATTTGCTTGTCTGTAGTTTCTGTGATTTGAGTTGAACTCAGTACATTGTAACCTAATTTATTAGTCACTCGTCATCCCCTTACGCACCTCTCGTCTTTATTACGTAACTCCTTTACCACTGTATGCATATATTTACTTTGTTTAAACTTAAACTACTGTGTAAAACCTATATAAGCGTAATTTTTTGAGCACTGTTCACTAATTCCAGAACCTCGTGTCAACTGACATCATGTAAAATTTAGAAGTAGGTCAAAACTTTTCTTTACATTAACTTAATAATAATTTATTTAGGCTGTAAGCAGCAGTTGATGAGAAGCCAACGAAATAAGCAATGATTATTATTATTATTTTATCCTTTAATTCCTAGAGAAACATAGGGCTTCAGCTGAGCATCTCCATTGTCTTCTGTTTTCTGCCAACTTTTTCACCCCGCTCCAAGTCTGCCCACATGCTTTCATCTCCTCTTCACATGACATCCTCCAAGTCACCCTTGCACTGACGACCAACTCGCCGCTTCCCTTTAGGGTTCCACTCGAGCGATGACATGTCGTGTGATGTCACTTGATGGTTTCCTCAGAGTATGGCCAATCCATCTCCATTTCTTCCTGCCTATTTGTTTCACAATCGGCTCCTGCTGGGTAGGTTCGCTCTCAGAGATCCCTGTTGCTGATCTTTTCTGGCCAGCCATCTGATCTTGAGTAGTACTGAGCAAAGACAGCTGTTAATGAAGGTCTGTAGTTTGTTCGAAGTGTTCTTCATGACGCACCAAGTCTCTGATCCGTATAGTAGCACTGACTGACTTCACATTGGAGTTGAAAATCCGAGTCTTATTTTTGATGCTGACTTCTGTTGACCTCCATACAGACTTGACGTGAGTAATGAAAGCTTGTCTTGCTTTTCCGATTCTTGCTTTGATATCCTCATCACTTCCGTCCGCCTGTAGTTGAAAGTATGCTTCCCAGGTAGGTAGTTAAAGGAGGTTGTTTCTTTTAGGTTCCTCCCATTTATGCTTATTGTTGTCTGTTGTTGTTGTTGCTGTTCGTGTTGGCCAGGAATCTTCATCACCTCTGTTTTATCTATGTTCACTTGAAGTCCTATATTTGATGCTTCTTCTGCCAACTTGTTGCTTTTCACTTGCATATCTTCCAGTGTGTGGGAAATCAGACATATATCATCGGTGAAGTCCAGATCCTCCAAGTTTTTTGTGTGAGTCCAATGATGATAACATTTTATTCTGCACAAACCACTATTGTTCTTGCTTTATGCAAAAGATATAAGTGATTTGCTTTATTCCAAAACAGTACCTATGATGCAGTATGGAAATCTCAGCATTTTCAGTTACAATGTTGCATCTAATTTACTCGACAACAGCAACAACAAATATGGACATTATACTACTACAGGACTGATATTGACAGTTTCTTTTTCGCTATTTGCAGTGACAGTGAAGTGGAAAATGTACAAGAATTGCAAAATAATGATGATAATAATGTTAACAGCCAAATTATAAGTTAATTAAAATAGTGTCTCCATAAACTACAAATAGGATAGAAACATATGAAAATATCAGAGAAAAAACCTGAGACTCTGACTGTACATAAGAAACCTCTATTTATTAACTTACAATTTAATGGTGACTTATCAAGTGAGATTTTATTCCAGAGACTTTCCAGGAGTATACGAAGAACATTTTACACAGCACACTTATGTTTGTCATTCTCTAGCCGACGAATGATTGGGACGCAAACGAAGGATAAGCTAGATAGTTTTGCCACATCTATGTGCATTTATCAATTCAACTGCACCTGCGGTGACAGTTATGTTGGGCACACTACTGCTAGACAGCTTAGCCAACGTGTCAGTGAACGTCTCCCATCGTAGTTTGGCAAAGGACAGACAAAAACAATCCGTAGCTCAATTTTGTCACATTTAGTTGATAGTGGTCATGTAGTGGAGAACACAAGAGCTTTCAAAGTAGAACATCGTACCTCACCGGATCCTTCCAATGCACTTCGTATTCGTCTACTGCACACAGCTAAGGCGATAGGTGTTCGAACCATTACACCTGAACTATGCATTCAAAAGAAGTTCGTGCAGTCATTATCCCCCCCCCCCTTGGCCTATCAAGACATAACCAAGTGATAACTTCTCCACCACCCGTTACTTACATTTTCAACCCCTCTCTTATCATCCCTTAATCTTATCACATCTTCTTTAATACGTGTTTCATTTATTTCCCTTACAATCTAACATTACTTAATCGGTTCATTTGTTTTTCTTAGCCTTTATCGACTACTTCCACCTGAACATTTGTTTGTTTAATCATACTGTTTTTCATTATTCGTGTCATCACAGATTGCCTCACTTTTTCATCCTTATTATTGACAAGACCATTATTATTATTATTATCATTATCATTACTACTATTATGACTAATTGCACAATTTATATTCACCATTTTGTTATCCTATAGGCAAAACACCGTGATTGGTTTGTTTTTGGATTTTTATTTGTAAAGTTGTTTAGGTGTATTACAGTTAAGCCTGATGAGATCTAGTTGAAAACAATATTGTTCGCTTAAATGTGTTGTTCTAAATAGGATAGAATAAAAGAGCCAATTATTTTGCTAATCACATAGTAGGTTACAGGTCTATCGTTTAGAACGCGGGCCAAATATGGTATCGTTGAGTTTCTCTACTTGGTTGTACCAGCATACAATGTTTTATAATGGCTTCTATTCCTACCTGATGAGATGCAAGAGAAAGGAGTGGTGTGAATACAGCAGATGTTGAGAGTCAGACAATATGGATTTCGACCATTTCTCACAAGAGTTCAGGCGTCTGTCGTCTACAATAGTAACGAACTGACAACCTTTAATACTTTCGCTAATGGTATTTGCTCACGCGCGGCAATGAGCTGTAACGCCTATTCTGTAGATGCTTATAGTCCTATTAGGCTGCCTGCAAATCTCGGTATGTGGAGTGGAAGTTTGTTAGGACAGACTAAGTATCATTGTTAGTTTACGCCGACTCTGGCGTAGACGAGATGTTCGACTACCGACCAAAGGGCGGGTGTACTGCTCATCAGTCCGCTCCGTCCTCCTTTATGGTTGTGAGACCTGGCCACTGAGAGTGGAAGACATGAAAAGACTAGCTGTGTTTGATCATAGGTGCCTGCGTTCTATTTCCCGTGTGAAGTGGCATAATAAGGTGAGCAACATGGAGGTTAGGCGTAGAGTTCTAGGTAAACAGGGGAAATCAATCGACGAAGTCGTGAAGCTACAAAGACTGAGATGGTTAGGTCATGTGTTACGTATGCCTAGCCATCATCGCCTCCCTCGACGAGCAATGTTAGCGGATATAGGGTCAGGCCTGAAAAAAGCTAGCGGCGGTCAAACAAAAACTTGGCATCAGTCAATGAAATCCACAACAGTTGGTCTAAGCCACGTAGGAAGGTGTAGACTTCCAGGCTGGGGTCCTCGGACGGTAAAAATCTATGTTGGAAACAATTGTGACATGGCTCAAAATCGTTCTCAGTGGCGTAGATGCATCCACTCCCGTGACTTATATCTTCAATGAAACTGTTTTGTATTTCTTTATTACTCCTTTGTCTCACACCTCTGCTCACTGTTTCTATTATGCTTTTCTTGTACTTTCTTTTCTTGCTTCGCGTGCTACACGGAATGTGGTGACTTGAACTTCCGCACATTGTGCAAAGTTCTATGTCGAAAACAGACAACAGAGAAGTATCATTTTAGCCGTAAACTTATAAATGATGCAATCAATCACATATTAACTATTGATTCATGATTTAAATTTCTGTTTATGTGTAAACGACATATCCTCTGTATTTTGAATAAAAAAGGTTATTGTTGTTGAATCTGACCTCTGTGTTTACCTCAATGTGAGGGGGCGGGGGGAATTTCCAAGTGATCAGTTAGCTATGGTGTCGTGACTGAAGGAGACCCATTCTAGTCAGCATAAACAATAAAAATAACAACAACAACAACAACAGAAACACACTAAACACTCCGTTACAAAAACAGGGTTCGAACATGTGGCCCGGTGGCTTAGAAGTTGGAAGTTTCGACCAATAATGAGCCAGATTAATAATTGGAAATGGATTATTCCTCTTCCTATGTAGTTCTATACATTTTTTAAGTGGTTAATACTATGATTATTTGATGTATTTATATTGTGTGTTTCTTTTATCATTATTATTTTAGAGCTCTGTATCGCACAAAAATATATTACGCTATGTTGATTCAAAGATAACTGATATTCAACCAGGAATATATGAAGCTTTATTACTAACTGCTTATTATCCAGGTAGGAGGATATTTATTATTATTACTATTATTATATTATTCCCTTGGGTTCTGAATGGAACGTAGAGCTTCAACAAAACATCTCCACTTTCTTCTGTTTTCTGCCATCCCCTTCAGCTGGGTCCACGATTGCACATAATCTCTCATCTCCTCCCCATCACACCATCTCTTCCATGTCACCCTCGCACTGACCACCCACTCGTCACTTCCCATTGGGATTCCACTCGAGTGATGGCCTGGCGTGCGATGTCATTCAGTGGCCTCCTCAATGTATGCCCGATCCATCTCCTCTTTCTGCTGCATATTTGTTGAGCAATCGGCTCTTACTTGGTTGGTTTGTTTTCAGCCAGAGTTTCTTGTCGCTAATTCTTTTTGGCCCGCTGGCTGGCTGGCCATTTGATCTTCACTATAGAGGCAGCGAAGGGGGCAGGTGTTGATAAAAGTGTGTACAATAGGCTGCTGAAAATCCTTTTCGTGACGTGCAGTGCAAGTTTCTCACCCATATATGGAAAAAGTGACTGACTCTTCACATTTGTGTTGAACAGAATCCGAATCTTGTTGTTCATGCTGGCTGAGTAGAGTAAGTAGAAGATTTCCAAACTAGTTTCCGGTTGATGACTTTGACATCTTCATCCCTTCCGCCTGTGATTGAAGCGATACTTCCTAGATAAGTGGAGGACGTAACACCTCTGTCAAATCTCTCCCGTTGATGGTGATTGGGGCTGGTTGTTCTTGTTGTTGCTGTTCGCTGGTTATCTTCATCAACTTCGCCTTCTATATGTTTACCTGGAGTGTCAGTCCTGTCTTCGCTGCCAGCCTCTTCAGTTAGTTTGTTGCTTTTACCTGTAAGTCTTCGAGTTTGTGTAATATTGGACACATATATCACATCTGCGAAATCCAGGTCTTCTAGAGCCTTCTTATCTGTAGTCCAGCGTATGACCGGGCGTCTTACATAGCCTCTCATGAGGAAGTCCTACTCACTGCCTTCACGTGGCGGAGGTGTTTTTCACCAAAGTGAGAGGGCAAAAGCGGATGCCCTGCGCTCTTCACCGGGTTGACTGTCCATTGGATGACAGTCTAGGGGAGCTGGCTAAACCCTGATTCCAAACCTCCAACGACTGGCGTATGAAACTCACCGGAGCTCATCGGCAGACGTATGGACAAAGGGCTTGTTGGATGTCCTGGATGACTGGCCCCATTCAAAAAGGCGAATGAACCGGACTCCGGTCACCGGCTGCCAATGGATAGTGGACTCCCTACTCCACTCCTACTGCCTTGTAGGTCACACTTGGTTGTGTAAAGGCTAGAGCTGCACTCTCAAACAAAGGCCGAGCGATGCTGGGGACATCACTCGTACCCAATTCCCATGAAACTTCATGGTTCATGAAGCCGGCTCATCCTCCCGTAGGAGATAGCTGAAGTAAAGTAAAAGTAAAGTAAGTATTCTGGTATTCTCGCTCCCCACAATCTGACACATAATCCAGTCCACCACAATTAAGAATATCATCGTCGGTGATAATAGGCAGTCAGCCTTGTCTTATTCCTGTACTCACTTTAACTGCCTCGCTGATTTTTCCGTTCTGGATCACCTGACACGTAGCATGCATTGTGTCATGCATTGCCAGCTATTGAATGAGGTTGATAAAGACTTGAGCACTGCATGCCGTGGTGTTGAAGTAGTTGCCCAAATTAATTCTCGGTCAACGCTGTTGAACGCCTTTTTGAAGTCGATGAAGTTGGGAATGAGGAGGATATTATGTTATCTTTTTATATTTAGTTTATGTAAAGGTGTTTGATTTTTAGTTGGAATATAATATTGATTGAATTTTAGATTTTCTCGTCGATTGATTGGACCGAAGTACTCAGTCTCAGGTTGACATGTCGGCTTCTTGTGTAGATGCTTCGAAGATGTAGCGGCGTGTAGTTAGAATTTAACTGGTTGATGGTAACTAGTAGTGGAATCCAGGATAACGCGCATTTCTTCCCATTCAGGACTCGTCATCTGGATGCACCTGCATTCGCCAGTGAGTGATGATTTTCCCATCGAGGCTCAAACCCAGTGCCCATAGTTTCAAACATCAAAGAGTTATTCACTAGTCCACTTGGGCCACGACAGCCGCCTCTTGTGCAATGGGTCATATTAATTATTTAATTCAATTTTAGATTTTCCCGTCGATTGACTGGACCGAAGTATTCGGTCTCAGGTGGCTCTGGTGACCCAAGTGGTCTATAGTGGATAACGCTTTGGTGTTTGAAGCTATGGGCACTGGGTTCGAGCCTCAATGGGAAAATCATCGTTCACCGGCGAATGCAGGTACATCCAGATGACGAGCCCTAAATAGGACGAAATGCGCGTTATCCTGAATTCCACTGATAGTCACCATCCACCAATTAACTTCTGGAATAATATTAATAATAATAATAGTTTAGTGTCGAGGATTTTATTTATCTCGGCTACTCGAAAAAAGTCTTTCATTCTTTACCCCACTATGAGCCACAAAATTATTGTATTGTAATAGGTCTGATGATGAAACTACTACTCAGTTGAGTAGGTTGAATTCGTTGGAGCAGTAGTATCCGAACCAGAGACTCACTGGCTGATGAGTTTACATATTTCATAGGTTTGGTGAGTAACACATTTAAAATCTACTCATGAGGTTAGATAAAACTCGTAAAATATCAAAAGAATCGGCCAATAAACTTGTGAACTGTGTGGGAAAGTATGTATTATCACATATTTTTTATTTATTAAGACATAAAACCTAGTACAATATGGCACCAAGAGGATGCACCACACAATAATAATAAAACAACATATGACTAGCCACTGATTGAGATTCTTTGCTATATCCGATAACGTTTCAAGCCACCACTTCGAGCTATCTCTAGGACCCCAGCATTATCCGATGCCAACCTGCCTTCATCCCACGTCGCAACGTCATGGACTGATCAACTTTCCGCTTCTTTCCATCCAGTCCCGGGGCCAGAGAGCAAAGACCGGCATGGAAGCTTCTGGGATGACATTCATAGTGCATGTCCAAGCCATTGGAGCCTGTGTTTCCAGATGATGACACTCAATGAATAGTAATCTCCATGGTGTCCAAATACACGCCGCCGGAACTCAGAATAGAACGTAAATAATTCTACGGAAACAGCGATGATCCAGCACTCAGAGTCACCGCCGCACATCCTCAGCTAGGAGAGGCCAGGTTTCGCTGGCGTAAAGCGTATTATCACATAACCTAACTTATCATTTAGGTAAATTAGGTGACATACCTAATCGGCTTAAGCATTCGACTTCCAGCCACTGGATCTTGGGTTTGATGAATCCCACTTCAGCTACTACCTTTCAACCTGGGGGAAAATGTTTATTATCATTAGCCTTCACGCAGCAATTTCCGCTCACAGTCTGATGCATAAGGAGCTGAATTCTAACTAAACAAACTGAACAGAACAGAATAGTAAAATGGCAAAATTTGATGGTTAGATCAAGAAATGTGTGACTGTTGGCCATTCAGTTTTTGATATTAGTGAGATGTTAAGAATTAGTGCTTATATACTGTAAACGAAGAATACATAGATGGCAAAATGAGCAGAAGCCGTAGGTAAGATGCCAGGGAGAACTGAATATTGGTTGGAGGATTTCATCATGAGCTGACATCTGTTAGAGAACCATTAGAAAAGCAGTCAGGGAGTACTGGTCAGTTGTTTCGTCAGCCTAGTTTGTGACTCTTCGGTAGTGTGTTTACCCACCGACAAGGTTCAAACCCAGGACCTTCCGGTTACAAGGCAAGCTCTTAGACCATTTAGCTACTGGGATCCGATCCAGTGGCCGATGAATTCTAACTTCTGCTAATTCACGACATAGCGTGACCGCTTCGCAATGTCTTCTTCTATCCTTACCTTCAACCTGCCGTAACCACGGTGCGCGCGCACTGGTGAAGAGTCCCAAACTGGGACGAAACACCTGTCCAGTACTCCCCGACTGCTTTTCCAATGGTTCCCTAACTGATTTCAGCTCATGATGAAATCTTCCGAAATCTCTGACGAAATCTCAGCACGAATACAAGGGGCTCGTTTCGCATTTGTTAGTTTACGCCGACTCTGGCGTAGACGAGATGTTCGACTATCGACCAAAGGGCGGGTGTACTGCTCATCAGTCCGCTCCGTCCTCCTTTATGGCAGGCTGTGAGACCTGGCCACTGAGAGTGGAAGACATGAAAAGACTAGCTGTGTTTGATCATAGGTGCCTGCGTTCTATTTCCCGTGTAAAGTGGCATAATAAGGTGAGCAACATGGAGGTTAGGCGTAGAGTTCTAGGTAGACAGGGGAAATCAATCGACGAAGTCGTGAAGCTACAAAGACTGAGATGGTTAGGACATGTGTTACGTATGCCAAGCCATCGCCTCCCTCGACGAGCAATGTTAGCGGATATAGGGTCAGGCTGGAAGAAAGCTAGCGGCGGTCAAACAAAAACTTGGCATCAGTCAATGAAATCCACAACAGTTGGTCTAAGCCACGTAGGAAGGTGTAGACTTCCAGGCTGGGGTCCTCGGGACGGTAAAAATCTATGGTTGGAAACAATTGGTGACATGGCTCAAAACCGTTCTCAGTGCTGGTGCAGATGCATCCACTCCTTGTGACTTATGATCTTCAATGAAACTGTTTTGTATTTCTTTATTACTCCTTTGTCTCACACCTCTGCTCACTGTTTCTATTATGCTTTTCTTGTACTTTCTTCTCTTGCTTCGCGTGCTACACGGAATGTGGCGACTTGAACTTCCGCACATTTGTGCAAAGTTCTATGTCGGAAAGAGACAAACAGACAGACTTCCGAAATCCCTACAAAACCAATGCCTGAAAAAAAGACTAGATATTGTCTAGTTGTGAAACTTATCATATTTGTTCGAAATTTAAGTCTGACTGCATTCAAACCTATAATTCATTTGTTTTCGCGGTTTCATACACTCATGTGGCGTTCATTTAGAGCTTCGCAATGGATTTCATTATGCTAGTGTCTCTTCATAAGGCATAATCTTCAATATTTGAAGATGAAGTTGAAGATGAGGCAGTAACTCATCGTAGAAGATATTGCGAAATGGTCGCGCTATGTCGTGAATTGGCAGAAGCTAGAATTCAAGGACCATTAGATCAGGTCCCAGTGGCTCAATGGTCTACGAGCTCGCCCTGTAACCAGAGGGTCTTGGGTTTGAACCCTAGCGGTGGGTGCGTACTGCTGAAGAGTCCCAAACTAGGATGAAACAGGTGTCCAGTACTCTCTGATTGCTTTACCATTGGTTCTCTAACAAATGTCATTTGATGATGAAATCCTCCATGCAATCAAACAAAATCCCTACAAAACCAATACTTGAAAATTTCCTAACAGTTTGTAATCTGTTTTGAAAGGAAAGAGTACGATAGTCGAGTGACCTTGAACCAATCAATGGGATCAGTCAGCATTACAAGTGGATGTTTTTCATCATAATCTTTGTTGCAAGTTTTATCCTGATTCAGGGCCAAGGTTAGGGTAGGATTAAGGTAGGGTTATGGTTAAGAGTTAGAGTAAGACTTGCAACGAATATTAAAAAAAGCATCTGTTTCTGTAATATTGAGCGATCTGATTGGTTGGTTCAAGGTCATTTGACTCTAGTATCTATTCCTTACTGTTGCCAGTATTGTTATTCATATGATTTTTGTTACACAATATTACGCAATTACATATAGTAATGATTTCACCGTGTGTAAAACTGAATCACATGGTGAAAAAAAAACAACTGCTGATTGCAAAACAAAAAATAAAAACGATGAAAAAAAGGCTGATCAACAAAATCATCATGATAAAAAAGAGTGATTACTGACACATGACATCATCATGTTTTAATGACTGACTGACTGACTAATTGACATGTATTTCCGGTTACAGTTGAAGTGTATTATTATTAACTTTTTCAAAAAAATACAGAATATCGATTCGATGAATGTGAATTTGGATGTCAAGTGTTGTTCATTCTCTTAGATAATAATAATGATACATGGAATGTTTTGAAATGGATTATTGTGATTTTAGGAGTTCCTGCATTTATTCCCCTTGATAAACTTGAATAAAGCGAGAACAACATTGATTTGTGCAGAATAACATGGTACCATCATTTATTTCGTTGGCTTCTCGTCAGCTGCTTACAGCCTAAATAAATTTTCAGGTTTAAGTACAGAAACGTTTTAACGTACTTGCAAATTTTACATGTTGTCAGTTGACAGAAAGTTTCACAATTAGTAAACAGTGCTCAGAAAATTGCGCTTATATAGTTTTTACACAGGCAGTTCAAGTTAAAAAAAATAATAATAATAAATAAATGTATGCATATAATAAAGATGGGATGTGCGTTGGATGCATAGTGACTAATAAGTTAGGTAACAATGTACTGAGTTGAACTCAAATCATAGAAACAAGAGACAAGCAAAATTACAGAATATAAAGGAGGGTGAGGTTAAAGACAAAGATTACGCAATCAGATGGGAGAAAAAAGACATCCAGTTACCAAGGCAAGGAAAGACTAATAACTGATTCTTTCTGAACACATAGATCTGGTTTCAAGCGTTTGATAGAAATTGCTTCGGCAAACTTGAGGAGAATGGAGCTCCTTTGTCTATTGATAATTTTGAAGGATTTCTCGATTTCCACCTCATGACCCGTGTCGAGGAGATGTCTGGTAATAGCGCTGCTATAAGAGTTTGTTCCCTTGAGACGTAGGCTTTTCGGCACATGTTCAGAAAATCGGAGGTGTGCCCTTCTTTCTGTTCTCCCAATGTAACTGCTCCCGCAGATACACGTAAATTTGTATACACAGTTGGAGTTAACATGAGAAGGGTATCTATCGACTTTTGACTGCACCAAAGAGCATGTTGTTCGGTGGACGGGAACCAACTTAGCTGCAGGATAGGCTCTGGCTAGTGACGTCCTCAGTCTTCTGTTGACCATTTCTGCAATGTCTTCACCTTTAAAGTCTAGTTGAATGAAGACAGG